GCTCCCCAAAATGATTGCTTGTGGGAATGAAGGATCATGGTCTCACATCTCAGGTGAGCTGCAGTTGAGACTGAGCGTGCGTGTCCGAAACACTCTAGCAGATTCTTGAGTAGTGGCGAGCCACTTTCAGGAGTGTCAGTCATTTCTGATTCGGTGTGTGGTTGTCTAATGGGCCTGAGGCAAAATTGAAATGGCAGGTAAAACTTCATTGTGGGAAAGTGTGGCGAAATAAATCCGGACTTTGTTTGCAATGAGGAGGCTTATCAGAATGGTGATGTGATAACAATAACCGCGGATGGTTGCTTGCTTCAAAATTCGAATACCAAAGCCCACCACGAGGTTGTTGTTATCACAGAACATGCAATCTCCTCTGCATTGTTCATAGGGTGACGCAGCAATTTGACTCCAGCAAATGCTGGAGATGAAATTTTCCAAGAGATCGTGGCCCAATCTATCAAGCGCAATACGTCAACGTTGCATTTTAAAACCTGTGCCACAGTATATTAGCGAGCCTTCAGTACTTCCTCGCCTCACCCATTTGGTCAAGCCCGCCACGGCAGTAGCCCAATTGTAGCGACTGCGCATTCACCTTAAATACAACCGCGAACAAGCAATTTCCTTCCTGCACATTGAGGTCTGGCCCATAGCCTTAGCGAGAGCCACTCATCACCCTATGTATTACAGAGACCGACGACTCCCTCACCAAGATGAATAGCTACCTGAGATTCATATCTTGGAACAGAAGAGACCTGGACGTGATCTGGTCCAACATCTACCCCGACCACAGCGGCACTGGACTGCAGACCACTGTGGCCGTGCCCGTCTACAGCCCGCCCATACCGTTACCCGGAGGAGCTGGGGACACTCCTGGAGTGCTGGTTGCGGTTGTCGGCCTGGACGTCAGCATCGGGGAATTTGGGCAGGATCTCAACGTAACACTCCGCAGCTTGACAAACGTCCCAGGGAATTGCAGAGATCTCAACCTCACAGACTGCCAGTTTCAGGTGTGGGTCGCCACTGCCGGTTTGGCGTCGCTCAGGTTTGTTCGAATGACGGGGCATGTCCTGTAGTCGTTGTGAAATCCATGTACATCATCATTTCACACCTGCCCCAAGCCTGTTTATCTGGTATCTCACCTTGGATTACGGGCTTTAGCCTGTTCGACCCTGCGTCCGCAAGCCCTCATGATGAGCCCTCATGATCAGCCCTCCTCCTCAAAGCGCACATTTCCTGTTGTTCCGAATTTTTGCCACCCGCTGGCTGCGCTACCAATTCATTGATCGCTTCTTCTTGTTTGATAACGTGGGTGTGCCAGCCTTTGTACGGGCGTGCACATTAAGACTCCGTGCGGAGGCTTGTGTGAACAGACGTGTTCATGCAAGTTGATCTACTAGCTGTGGGCAGTTCTGAGGCTACAGACAAAGCAGACACAACATGCGCAAGAATCGCAGATGATCGAACTTGATATGTCATGTGTGGATCGCGTTATTGGCGAGGCACCTTGGGGCAAGATATTTTCAGCTGTCGCGCTGCGGTAAATATGCAAATCTATGACACTTCTTCAGTGGGCTCTTGCATGGAGCGTTGATTGCTTGGCGCACTTTTTGGGCTGTTGCGGCGTTGGCATGGTCAAGAGTCTGCATCTAGATTCATGTATGGCGCATGGCACGGACATGAGCCAGGGAAAAGGGCGGCTCCCTTGGGAACTTGTTGTAGTTCCCTCAAGATTATTGACTTTGGGGTTTTGTGTTAGGACACATGACAAATTTTGTTTCTTCACATAAAATTTTTCATTGTTCTGTTGACTGCAGATACTGTGAAGAGAGGAAGGTGAATGCGTGGAAATGTTTGACAGGGAAAGTTGCCACTTTCTGAAGGCGGAAGGTCATTATTACATTGCCAGCAACGAGAAAATTTCCTACGACCAGGCAAAGGAGCAATGCGCCGCGCTGGGAGGACAGCTTCCGAGAATCCACTCGCGCGCTGAACAGGCGTTTCTGGCGAGCTTTTCGCCTCCGGAGGGCTCCTGGCTGGGGATGAGGAAAACCAGCAACTTGTGGAAGTGGACCACGAGTAACGGCATCCAATCTCTAAGTAAATCGATTTGCAATTTTTCTATGTGATTTGCAATTTTACTATGTGATTAGTTCATTGAGCCCTGAGGGAAAAGATCGCTTTCAGACTAGTTTGCCTTTTCCATTTTCATCAAACTACTATCGCATAGCATGAATTTTTTCAACTATTTTAAGCATATCTCTATAACACGTTTTCCTTACAGTTTCACTTAGATTTTGTCGGTAAAACACTCCGCGTCCTGGATATCATTTAGGATGGAATGTGCTTTGGTCACAATATCCTGGATGCAATGCCATAATGTGGTCAGGGTGTTGTTATCCATATCAACATATGCATATTTCCTACATGTTTGTATCCATCATACCAATGCTCTTAGTGGTAATGATAACACTAGTGTAAAGGGGTGTTTTCCGGACGCGTTGCGGACACTCCAATGAGTGTCGCGGACAATCAAAATGAGTGTCCCCAGCGGAGACTGACCGCGACACTTTTTACGCCATCCGCGATAGTGTCGCGGACGCTTCACATTGCGGGTCGTGGGAGCGTCGCGGGCAGTGACGGGGACAGTGACGGACACGTTCTGGTTGGCGTCACGGTCAGTGTCGCGGACAGTGTTTAGCACCGCAGATAGTGTTGTGGACACTACCCTTGGCGTCGCGGTCTGTGTCGCAGACATCGTTTTGTGTTGCAGATAGTGTTGCGGACACTACCCTTGGCGTCGCGGTCAGTGTCATGGACATGGTTTGGTGTCGCGGATAGTGCCCAGGACACTGCCACACTGCCCTTGGTGCCGCGGACAGTGACGCTGATAGTGCCATGGACGCTACACTGGCGTCGCTAGCAAATTCCCTCGATGCTGCATTCAGCGGCATTCTGTTGCCGGACTTGTGGTGATCCCAGTCGTTTACAATTTCTGCTTACAACCTCCGGCTACAACTTTTGCTTACAACTTGTGTCCACACCTATCCTCCACCTCACTCGAGCACCCCCAGCATCATGGCACCACCGCACCCCATGCTAGCCATTTGCATTGCCAAAGAAGCACGCCATGCCTCTTTTCCCATTCTCCAACCTGCTTGTGGGTGACCTTGCTGTGGCTTCTGGGCCTACGCGAACGAGAACACACCAACACACACACTCAGCACACCGCACCTGACCTGCCCCGCCTCAACGCAGCCCAATCCGGATCAGCGGAACCTCCATCGCCCAAGCCCCCAAGGCCGTTTGTTGTTACAGACCCGTTGCCGCAATCCGCCGCCACGACCCGCCACCGCGATCCGCCTTGCCAACCCGCTCGCCACAATCCATCGTCGTCAGTGCCGCCTCCCACGTGTCGTCCACCGCCCCCGCACAACACGCCTACAAATCTCGTCTCTTGCCCATTACGATGGGCACATGTGCTCATCGGTGGCACATTTCGGCGGCGCGAAGTTCCCAGCCCACCCGTCCGTGTCAAGCTAGGACGCCTGTCCTTCACCTGCCTATCCTCACCTGCCGGCGTTGCTTTTTCCTTGCTTGACGGAGTGGGCCCCGCTTGACGGAGTGGGCCCCGGGCCGTGGGGTGATTTTGGCGGTTGTGGAGATCCCATAGATATCTTGTGTCGCGTGACGTCTCGTGCGTGATTTTCCCGGCGTCACGCCGTACTGCAGCGTCACGCCGCCGATATATCTCATGACAAATGGAGTATCCCGGCAACCTGCGTGACGCCTAGTACTTTAGCAGTACTTGCTTGCCTGCGCCTCAGTTGTTTCTGGCACCCGCCCTTCCATAGTGAGCGGAAGGCCGCAGGCTGCGGCCCGCAACGCGCTCCCTCTCAGCGCTCGCTGCTTGAGCGCAGCGCGAGAAGGGCTGATCGCGGATCGCGGACCGCAGCGGCCTTGTCAACCACAGCGCCGGCTGTCCACGCGCTTTGGGGCGCCTCCTCCCAGGCGACAATGCCCGTTCGCACACAGCGCTTGCGCAGAATGCGGACACGAGACTCCGCTGTTGCGCAATCCCCTGGCGTAAGTTGTAGTGGACGGCGCGGACGTTGAGTATCAACGTTTCTACTGCGTTGGACCTCTCCAACGCAACGCTCGGCTTCCATTCTGCCGTGGCCATCGACGCACAGATGCATCGCAGCGTCCGTGGCATTGTCGCAAGGGGGGATGGGGGTGTCGCCGGGGCCGTCAGCGGCGTCGGCAGGGCTCTCATTTCCCCTACCGACGCCACGGGGAACGGGTCAGCGACGTCGCCCCCCAAAGCGACGGGCAATTCCGGCGACGTCGCCTGAGGTTTGGACTCTAGAGGCGTCCGTTGTGCATACACTTTTGACAGGATCCGTTGTTGGAGCGCCATCAACACAGAAGAGACCATCAAGGCGGTTTCTGGTGTGGCCACCTGTGTTTTCCAACACGATCGAGTTGTTCATATTGACCAAAGTTGGCGAGGAGGTCCCACGCACAAAGGGGCTGCGCTTGTTTGCACCTGCACGTGGGAGGGTCGGTGGGTGGGATTCAAGACGTTTCATTCGCTCATATTTTTTGCGATCAACCTGTGGGCGGCCGAAACATTCACTGATTGAAACGTTTGTTGATTGTTGCACATAATCTGTGTCAACACAATCAATCGAAATACACAAAATTCAACAGATCGATTTGAAAAAACAACAGGCCACCATCCATGCCACACGAACCGGCCATGTAATCTGTGCCAACACATTCAATCGAAATATGCAATACTTTTACAGATCGATTTGCAGAAACATCAGGCCACCATCCATGCCACACGAACCGGCCATGTAATCTGTGCCAACACAATCAATCGAAATATGCACAACTTTTACAGATCGATTTGCAGAAATATCAGGCCACCATCCATGCCATATGAACCGGCCAAAGCTAGCACCTAACCAGCCCACTCAACGACAATGAATGTTCTGCCATCACCAGGAATCCCATAAGACCCCGGCACAGCTAGGACCCACCCATCCTATACAACTACAACTGACAACAACTAACACTATGCAACCACCAAACACGATTGACTCACTGTCGCAACATCGGCCTGAATTGAACTGTAGCACACCAGCAACAACTAACGACCTGAGAAGCAAAGTGCAACATGTCTTGCTGTAGGAGGCACTTGTCCCAGGTTCAGCAATCAGCTCAGACAACAATGGTGCTGCTGTTCGTTGTACCACGGGACCCTCTACATCTGCTGTTAGAGATGCTGCTGGTTCTGCCATTGGTGCTGCAGACAATGCTGCCACTTGTGGTACTGCCAGGCCCTCTACATCTGTAGGCACAGACGCTGCTGGTGCTGTCGCTGCTGGTGCTGTCGCTGTTGGTGCTGATGCCGTTGCTTTTGCCCGTGGTATTGCAAGACCCTGCACAACCACAGCAAGACTTGTGCCAGTAAGTTGCCACAAACCTCTCATGCCAACCATGATGTACAGACGCTGCTGTGCCCTGCCCTGCCCTGCCCCAGCCCTGAATGAATTACTGAATTCACTCAAGGTGAATTCCCTTTCTGAGCTCATACGTTGCATTCACATTGATGAGAGCAGTAGGAATAGAATGCCCACAAGCATCCTTTGTCTTAGCCTCTTGTGCAAAGCAACACACATCCAATAGTTATGCTGATCAACAACTTTTGTTGTTCCATAACTTCCAGGAGTGGAGGCAATGGCTGACACTTGCAAAGACACGGTGCTTCTACCTGCTGGCAAATGCCCTGGGGATTTCTGTTGTACCACCAGACACTGCTGTGGACCCAGGGGAACCACATTTCATTGCGAGGGCTGAGCAGGTAGCAAACAAGATGCTGGGACTGAGTCACGCAACGCAGAAGTCGTGGCTGTCAATTATACGCAAGTACTTGGTAAGTGCCATTTTTGTGTTCACATGTTAATGTTTGTCATGAAACTTAAAGGATGCCAGTACAATGACAACAACCTGGGACAATGCTGCTGTGTTCAAGATGTTCGTGAATTGTTCGATTCACAGAAGGCCATGCTTACAGGCTTGTGGTATTTGCAGATCTGGTTGAAGGTGAAATGGCCTGAGGGAAATGGAGGCGGAAATCATCTGTTGAAATCTGGAGATGCTCTTCAATATCTAAAGCTGGTAGTGGATGCTGAGGATCTGAATATGGCAGAACGGCTCGAAACTGAGGCCAACACTGCCACACATGGGGAAGAACATCAACAACAAAGGCAACAGGAGGAGGAAGAGCAGAATTGGGGGACAGGAGGAGGACAGGAGCAGGCAGATGAGGGAGAGCAGAGGCAGGAGGCAGAGATAGGAGAGAGGGCAGCAAGACAAGATAAGAGGAGGACAGCGGGAGAGCAGGAGCAAGAGGACAGGGGAACAAGAGTACAGGAGGAGCAAGATAGGAGCACAGGAGGGCAACATGAGCAGGAAGAGGAAGAGGAGGAAGAGGAGCAAGATATGGCAATTGCAACACCACGAAAGGTGCCTTGATGCACTTGCCTTCTGTGCACACGTGCCTGTTGTTCCATAGCTTACTGTCCTGGCAGACTGTCGATTGCTTTTCATGCTCTGCTCTGCATGTTGTACGTGTGTCACTGTTTGCAGTGTGCGCATGCTGTAGCTGGACTCATCAACCTGTGCCACCACATCTGCATATTCTCAACACTATTTACATGGCTCCTGATGCAATAACTATGCACTGTAGCACCCTATGCAGTGCACACATGGCCACCACCCCCATTCCTACTGTCCCATAGCATGCTGCCCCCCTAGCAGCTGGTTGATTGCTTTCATGCTCTGTTCTGCATGTTGTACGTGTGTCACTATTCGCAGTGTACACATGATGCAGCTGGACTCATCAACCTGTGCCACCACATCTGCATATTCTCAACAGTATCTGCCTGGCTTCTGATGCAACAGCTATGCACTACAGTACCCTACGCTGTAATGCACACATGCCTCCATTCCTGCTGTCCCATAGCATGCCACCCCGGCAGCCCGTCGATTGCTTTCATGCTCTGTTCTGCGTGTTGTACATGTGTCATTGTTCGCAGTGTGCACATGGTGTAGCTGGGCTCATAAACCTGTGCCACCACATTTGCATATTCTCAACATCTACATAGCTTCTGACGCAATAGCCATGACTACAGCACCTACGTCAGTACACATGCACACATGTCCCTGCCCTATAGCCTGCTGCCCCCTAGCAGCCAATTGATTGCTTTTCATGCTCTGTTCTGCATGTTGTATGTGTGTCACTGTTCGCAGTGTGCGCATGCTGTAACTGGACTCAACCACCTGTGCCACCATATCTGCATATTCTCAGCACTATTTGCATGGCTGTTGATGCAATGACTGTGCACTACAATACCCTACACTGTAATGCACACATGCCTCCATTCCTGCTGTCCCATAGCCTGCCACCCTGGCAGCCTGTCGATTGCTTTCATGCTCTGTTCTACGTGTTGCACATGTGTCACTGTTTGCAATGTGCGCATGCTGTAACTGGACTGATCAACCTGTGCCACCACATCTGCATATTCTCAACACTATTTGCATAGTTGTTGATACAATAGCTATGCACTGCAGCGCCCTACGCTGTCATGCACACATGCCTCCATTCCTGCTGTCCCATAGCCTGCTGCCCCCCTAGCAGCCAATTGACTGCTTTTCATGCTCTGCTCTGCGTTTTGTATTGTGTCACTGTTCGCAGTTCACAACCCAATCCCATCACGTGTTTTGCTCTGATTTTGGTTGCAGCTGCAATCCCATCACGTGTTTTGCTATGATTTTGGTTGCAGCTGCAATTCACTAGTGCCAACACCTACTTGGCAGCATTGACGTACCTAGGAGAGATACAATGCACCTTGCTGGGTGTGGCGCCATGGCGTCTACGTGAGCAGGGAATCATCAGAGCATGGTACAGTGTGTCAAAGTCCAATGCAACAACAAGGAAAAAAAGGTAAAGGACATGGCCGCAAGAAAAAGAAACATTCAATGCACAATTTGTCAAGAATTGGCATGCTTTCAGCCATACACGATTCCTTACCAACACTTGCTTTCCCTTCCTGTGCAGCCTTTATTGCGATCGACAAGAAGAAACCTTTCGTGACATCTACACCGAAGAGGAAGAAGAGGAGATATGCTTGAACCTGCTGAAAGACCACACAACCACATCCGTGGCAGTCAGGTACTCCTGGATACAAGAACACCTTTTTTGCAAAGATTGATTCAATTCACAATGCTTCAAATAACTAAAAATACCATTCTATGCATTGCAGGGCAATGTTTACATACGGAGACTCATGTGCTGGGAGGGGGGAGGACACACGGGGTTTGACATTGCCAGACCTATTTCCGTTGCCTTACAGGAGATCTCAGACAGTGGGCCCCTGTCAGTTCACTCCGTTGTACACAGTCCGGCATGCGGGGAAAACAGTCGCCAAGTCAGAGCGCATCCAACTGCAAGCTGTCGCTCGTGCAAAGAATGCACTTGTGTGCCCGATTGGCTCAATGGCACTACACTTCTATGTTTCAGAGAACATGGGGAGGCGCTTGGCCAGTCCTGATGTTACACAAGCAAACAAGGCCTCATGGTAAGCAAACAATTCCAATTGTTGTGTGCATGTTCCATTGTGATATCATTATCAACCACTCATTGTTTATTCAATGTTGTTATCAAATGATGTATTTAACTTGTACGTTGAATGGCATATGGCATGTGGCAATTAAACTACACGCTAAAACACAAATACTTGAATGTATGCAGGTACGAGCGTCATGTGTTTCCATCCCGTGATGATGTGAACAAGGAAATTAGCTATTCCACACAATACGAGCACTACAAGAAGGCCTTCGATCAGTTGGGGAGGCGTTTGAGCCATGTGACACATTGTCACAGACCCTCCACAACCACCAGGTTGCAGCAGATGGGTGCCTCTGATGTGGACATAGCAAGCTTTGCACTTTGGCTCAACGATGATCAGCATACGTGCTATCAGAAGCTGGTGAGCCCCGACGTTTTGTGCAAAGAAGCGGGATTTCAGGACCAGCGTTCATATTATTTGTGGCGTGGGCAGTTGGACCCTGCCCAGTTTTTTCCGCACATGTGGCGGTCAGTCTTCCCCGGAGCAGAGGAGCAGCTCCAGCAGGTGAAGCAGGTAAGAACACATGTAATATATTGTTTGTATATACTTTGCTTATTTATTCTACAAACTTGTTGGTTGATGAACTTGTCTGTGCTACAGAAAAATAAGGTGGCAAGGAAACAAGATGTGGACACAGCGGCAGAGGGCTATTTGGAGGCGAGGTTGTACTTCAGGACAGTGTTCTGGCAAGACATGCCATTCTTGCATGAGCTCGTCCCAGACCATCCTGTGTTCTCGATGACCATCTTTCAGACACATCGGGCAGATTGGAACAGGTGGAGGCTATTCGTCCTTGAGTTTGTGAAAGATATGGAAAAAATGACCACCACCCTATTGTGCCCGCCTCTCCCCATTGCTGGGGTTGGAGCTTCGGGATCACAGTCTGCCGCTATCCGTCATTGGCTTGATGATCATGTGGAGCACCTTCGCCAGAGGCTCTTTGTTCAGGTAACCATAAGCAAACTTTGCTTAGCAAAGTCGACAATGCAGCAATTTTGTTTGTTACACACAACACCAGGCAATTTATTGCCCTTTATCAATGCAGTGGTTTAGTTGCTGTCCCAATGAGCTGATATTTGAACAAAGAATTATTTAGCATAGAAAATACTGATGCCTAAGTTGTTGTGACAGGGAGGCACAACCCCATCTTTGGGAGCTCCAACACTTTCTTCAGCACCACATCCTTCACCACTGCCATTGGCCCAACCGAATTGTTTGGTGAGTGTATTCATGCAAAAATCTTATGATTTATGTAGTGGCCCTTTCTTCACTTGCCCCAAGAGGACAATAATCGTTTTATATCTTATATGTGTGTTAGGCTGTAGCACGAGGCTGGGCAGCAAACACCTCCCTTTCGTTTTGGTCCCTTGGGTGGTTTTCACTTGTTTTTGTTTTGGTTAACAGAACCCTAGATGGCGTGGCAAATTATTGATAGTTCGTGTTTGTGGCCATGCAGAGATTGGCACCCTCGTCTTCCCCACTCGATGCTACGCCCTCGGTCGTGCCCTCTCCTTCTCAGGTCCACTCTGTCCTCCCCCAAGTGAGTTGCATTGTTGCTTTTGATGCCCGATTCCCATGTGCAAGCATGTTGCTACACAACGAGGACTGAACCTTTTGCTTGCTTATGATTAGGTGAGCAGCCTCCATGGACCTCCTACCGTGATGTCAACACAAGCGGCTGTATTGCCCAACCCTGCTCATTTGGTAGGGCCATTGAAACGAGTTTGCTTATAAACCATCCCTAAGATTGGAAGTTGTTTCAACACAATATATTGCTATTGGCCTCGGAGCAACAACAAAATGCTTTTACCAAATTGTGCAAATCGAGTTCCTTGCAAACCAAGTGGATGTTGCATACTCACCGCGTTCTTGTGTCACACAGATGGCTGGTACGCTTGTTACCCCTTCCCTGGCCCCTCCTGTCCAAGTGCCACAACCTTGGAGAGCCCCTCAGGTACACTTTGTCTCTTCCATACTGTCGTGAGCCCACCGGCAAAATGCGCCACCAAGTGCTGCCCTTACACAACACAAAGTGCATTGCAATTGTGTTTTGCATGCATGTAGGGCCCAAGTGCACTGGCAGATGTGCAGACCATGCAATACCACACGTACAACCTGATGGCCACAATTGCATCACATTTGTGCAATGCTGAGTTCCAGAGGCGTCAAGCAATGCCGCCAACCCCAGGCAGGGTGCCAACCAAGCGCAGACAGGGACAACCCCAAGGTGGACAACAGAAGCGCCGTTGTCAGCATACCTACAATGCTGAGGATGCTCACGGCACTGAGGGTGCACACACAACTGATGCAGAGACAAGTACTGAGGCAATTGTGTGCTTTGATCATTTCAAAGCACTCAATGGTAAGATTACTTGTGTTGCCAGCTCAGACATTTTTTGGTGATGCACCACCACATGACACAACACCTATTGGCACACATAACATAATCAATTGTTTGCTATGCGCAGCAAGTACATTGGCAGAAGTGTGGGAAGAATGGGACCAAGGGCTGCGAAGGGAGGATGGCAGTCGGACATTGCCATTGAGGACTCTATGTGCACAGAAGTCAACCAAGTGGCGAGGGTCAACCAGTGGCAAGATGCGCCAAATGCTATGGCGGCGCAGGATCATCTGGAAAGCCATGCAGCTGTCGTTTGACTCGGTTGGAGGGAATACTGATGCGATGCTTGCAAGGTTTGAGGACATAAAGGCCAGCTTGGGTGATGCGACGAGCAATAATCAGCTTGTAGATCACCTTAAGGGCAACGAGTTGGCTGGTTGCAACTAGGAAGAGAAAGAAAAGAGGGCAAAGCAGGGTCTGCATTTCTAGTGTGACCTGAAGTGCATTTGAACTCCCCACTGATGAGGAGGAATCAGAGCGGGCAAGTGATGGAGCCACAACAGAGCAGGACATCCAAAATAATGCAATGTACGGTGTAGATATGAGTGAATCTTACAGCATGCCTTGCCTCTGCCACAAGCAAGGCTGGCATGCGCAAGAATGTGCGATGTCTGGCAGATAAGATCAAAGGTATGTTGATACTCAGCTGTGTGCTCATATTTGTGCTTGTACTTGGGCATCAAGCTGTGTGGTTGAGCAGTGTTTGGCCTGCAATTCGCACTGGAATCGAGCCATTGCTAGTGGGTTCCGCCTTAGCGTCACAGCGTTCGGCTGTAAATGGCGTATAATTCACTACGCAAGGCAGGCTTCTAGGTCAATGTGGTATGCAAGAAGCTTTCTCCTTGAGCAATGCCAATTCACCAATGGGCCTTTGCACAGCATCCCCAAACACCCAAATGTGGTGATATGCCTTGTTC